TGAATGGTTGACAGCTAATTATGCCCTACGATGGTCTTTCTCTTTGAAATCTCTGGTCATTTCTTGCCATTATTTCAACCAAACCACGACCATATGTGGGTTTTAAGTTAATCTTATCCACTTCCCACGCAAAGTCTGTGGTAAGTGCGGTCAGTATCGCACATCCTCACAGCAAATAAAGATAAAAACAGCCATGCTACAATGCTGCGCAGAGAGAGAGAGAGATTAATAATGTTATTTCGATGATTGTGACCGGAGCTAGCTGCTAAAAGGATTTTTGGAGCGTTCAAACAAGTATAAATTCATAAAATGGTTCGCAAGAATAGAATTCACTCGAAAAGTTCGTTCAGAACTCGCTTGAGGTTATTTCGGCCTCAACATTAATCATTTTTATGGGTCTTTGATCGCTCTTCTATTTTTGAACTTGAAAATCCGTGAAACACCCTGCAAACACCATAAACAGGTTAAATACGGGTTCTTGGATTGTAAAGTAGCTTTGACCTAGAGCAATTTGTATGGAGTTAGTGGGATTTGAACAGGAACTTCAAACGGTTTTGACGTATAAGCCAAGCTGGGGTAAGCAGGAAACTTAAAAGAGAAACAAAGATAAAATCATATATTACTTTATTTCCTAATTAATTTAGCATGTTATTCACCCATTAGCGTTACCTAGGGTTTCTTCAGTACAAATAGCTACTATTTCAGCAGAGAACGATTTATATCATCCATATTTAAGATACAATTGAGAGATTCATCCGTTATTGCGCAAACATGCACGTCGACTCAGCGTCAAAGTGAGGTCACCGTCCTCCTCTGTTTTGGTCTTGTTGAATATGAAACTGCTCACCTTTAATCAAAGAAAGCAGAATTTGGTGTCTTTTACTCACCAAAACCAGTCAAAGAAGAAATTCTACGAAGTAATTTTTTTTTCAATGGGCCCAACAGCGCAAAGTAAGTTCATAAGCACTGTATTTTAGCTGATTATACTGGGGAAAAGCAATGATGACAAATTTGTTTTAATTATTTTACTTAAATATGTTAGGGTTCTTCTCATCATGGCTTTTTCTACTTTTCTTGGCAGCTTTTTCGGTAGATCGTCGTGGAAAGGATCAGAAAAAACGGTCCATCATATGTTTTCGTCTCGTATGCTGACAACCAAGCCACGTGTTACCTACGCGAAAGTGAGTTGCCCCCATCGTCTTCAATCACCATAAGTGAAAATAAGGTGATTCTCTACTAGGAAGAAGTTATTGGAGTTGGCGAATACTTCGGGGATCCTTGTTTCTCATACCGGGTATGCTCACGTGAGCTTAAGGAAACTGAAGTGTTATCCGACGACATGTGACACCTGCGTGTGGAATGCGGGGGTTCGGGGGCATCGCCCCTGACACGGGTGTCTTGCTGCCCGGTCAGCGAGCGGGGTTCGAGGGCAGCGCCCCCCGACGGGGGTTCCGCTACCCGGTCAACGGACGGCTGCCCCGCTCTTCGGTGAGCGGGCGGGGGCTCGGGGGCAGCACCCCCGAAACCTCAACGGGTTTGGGCTTTTATTTAAGCTGGCCTGTATAGTGCGAGATTAAGAGATTTCGTATAAGTTTAGGTTTTGGGCCCGTTTGGGGCACATATATATTTTACTCGTTTTTCTGATCATTGTAACGAGTTGAGTGACTGTAAAACCGAAAATATAGTGAAATCTCTTTACAGGACGTAGCCCTATTCGAGGGTGAACCTGGGTAAAATTCGTGCATCGTCTATTTTCTCTGATTTCTGCGTGATTGTTCTGTTTCGATTCTCGTTACGTCCCTTCATAAGTCTTTAAGGCTCGTAGAGAGAGCCGCAAAAGGCGGAGAGAGATGTCGGGACAGAGAGATGATAGGGCAAGAGAGGCGATGCGCGACGACGGGATTGCTGGAGGTCAAAGGCGGGAGCAGAAGCAGCGGCGACAACGGTGGCACTTGGCCGCTTGGGAAAGGAACAGACAGAGAGAGAGAGAGAGTTGGGAAATTAGGAGGAGGATTGGTTGCACATTACAGGCCTACAGAGTTGGGCCCCCATCTGCTCATTTTTGCATGAGAAACAAAGGAAAGCAAAACAAACAAACCTGTCATGCATGGCATGTCCATGCGATCAAAGGCCGTGTATGACTCACGGACGCTCTTGAATATCTCAGCTGCAGTGTACGTCTGTGTCATTGTGTGGCAAAGAAACGAAACTAGGGTGGTCTCTTGTTGACTGAGAATTTCGGTAGTGGATATGCATCCGAATCGTGAGACTGTCCGCTGGGAAACCTGTGAGCTGCTGTGCGAGCTGGAAGGAATAATTAAGGATGCATGTTGTCTATTAACTATGACCTAAGTACCACCTACTACCATGTCTGGTTTGATCTTATTATATTTGGAAGTGAAGTCTAGTCTGTCCACCAAACATATCTCAATGGTGACTAGGAAATCTGTCTGCTTATTGCGAGTCTTTTGTGGCAGGCTTTTGTTGATTTTATCGTCACATTGGGAAGTTGTGTGCTAGGGGGGAAAAGCTAAGAATGAGAGAGCATTCATTCCGGTTCGTATTCTGTTCGTATCGAGTTCATCTTTGACTTCCCGGTGCACCAAGTTCGATCTCGACATTTACGTGTCCTAGTATGATTGTTAGGTTGGATTTAGAGTGATCGTCCCTAGAAATCGATATTCGTTTGCTGATTATTGATATAATCCTCACCTGCCTAGGTAAGAAAAAGGAAAAAAAATCAAGGCAAAGCAAGAGAGACTTGCTCATGTGCTAATGGCAGATGTAACTAACCTCACCAACATTTGAATTTTCCTTCTTCTTCTTCTTCTTTTCTTTTTTATCTTGTCATTATGCGTGTGCAATATGTTAGTGAATAAAATTAAATAGAGTGTTAATGGATAAGGATCTTATCTGCTTTTACTTGCTCCGTTCTTGATTGGTTGTTTTGTCGGTCCCTCTTGTTTTGTGATGTTTCCAAACAAGAGAAACTCTGTCGATACACCTGATAAGACTTATTATAGCGTTGCTGTCCCTATCTTTTCTTTTTTAATCAAGTGGTGTTAACCAGATGAACATGCTCTGTTGTCAGCATGTTTAAACCTCTCTCCAATCTCTTACTATTATTAGAGATTCAGTAATCTCCCCATTTGGTTGTTGAATGCCACTGAAGGGACCCGAAGCTACCGCTGAAAAGAGTAGTTTTCTTGATTGTCATAATCTCATTTGAGTAGCTTCACCAATTCCACGGTTATCTGCACTAATTAACCACTAAACCTTCCAAGTTACCTTTTAAACAAATCCTCTACCTCTTGCGAAAGCTCCCGCTTGCGTGCTATGATCTTCAGTAGATATGCCAATCACTTAAATTTACTAATAAAATTCGCGACATTTTGCTCCCATGTGTAGTTTTCAGCTTCATAACAGCAAATCACAGTGCACCAGATATATAGAGCTCATGTGCGGGTTTTGAGGCAAATATTAATGTTCTGCGGCTTTCTAGTTTGTTCGGTTAATAAAAATATGCATCAAAGATAGCCTTGTTTCGCTATTTCAATGTGTTCCAAGAACTGTGGACAGAGTTCTCAATGAATTTTAATTTATTCTCAAAATTACAAGAGTTTTACATGATTTTACCAAAACAAGGAGATGTCATAGTAATTCACCCCAGTTGTCAAAATTGGTTGGGACTCACTCTCGGTATCAGAAGTTGCAATGAGATTGTACCTGCCAAGGTTTTAAGTCACCATGCTTCAAACAAGTTACGAGAATTAGACCCACAATATGTGGTGGTGTCAGATATTAACTCGCTTAGCTCTCTCCGAGGTGGTCCTCTGTATTGCCGGCAGGACAAGTTCTTAACGAAACCGGTGCATGCGAACCGAATGCATATAAGCTCTTGAATTTGATAGGTCCCATAAGACCCGCACGTTCCAAGAGCAGGAACAAATTCTTAATGATCCCGGCATGTGAGTCCTTGAATTTAGTGAGTCCGCCGCGCTCACACGTATCCGGTGCAGTCAAGAATGTCTCTGCCTGTCAGCAGGCGGGGCGAGGAAAAAGCCGGCTTTAGCAGTGAGAGAGCAAGCCATGTACTATGACAGTGACTTCAGTTGAAATTAAAAGGCAATAATTAAATAAACAAATAAAGCCAACTGGTGATTGCGAAGGTGTTAGACGAATGATGTTCCAATCATGAAAGGTTAAAGAACTAGAAAAGAAGTCGTGTAAAGTAAAATTGCTTCTTTTTCCTTTTTCCCCTTTTCGACATTTCTTAAAAGCAGTGAAAGATGGAGATTCTGCTGTCCAAAACGAGGATATGCACGACAGATTCACCAAAGCATGCTTTGGAGTTATTAAAACTTTAGCTTCAGCAATTTTGCATTAAACACATGGGGGAAGGCAAAATTTCTTGACCCTTTAGTACATATTGCGAAGATAGACCACCAGCACAAACAAGGGAAGTCACGCAATTCACATGGACCCCGTGACTTAAGGAACTCGTCCTGTTCGGCACGCTGTACTATTCGCAGCTGGCAACACTTACTCCTCCAAATTAGTGACCCAATAAACACGAGCACCTGTGGAAATACCTAAGCTAGTGAAGAATCGCTAAGCGACGCCACATAGAGTTCAAGTCCTTGGGACATCCTTGATAAGCACACCATTCGGCGAGGCCACACAACTTATGGGTAATACATAGCTGTCCTCAAAAGTCAGAAATCAGCATCATATACAGTTTTCAGACAGTGAATGATAGCGACAACACCCAATAATCGCTGGAAACAGGTTGATGAGGTATTTAAGTGAGGGTGTGAGGACCATCACCAACGTAGTACACTGGTACTTCTTGACCATCTGTTTTATGTTCCATCAAACACCAACGGCCTGTTTCGGAGTAAGTATGTCGGCCAGCTTAGTGACCCACGAGAGAGAGAGAGAGAGAGAGAGAGAGAGAGAGAGAGAGAGAGAGAGAGAGAGAGAGAGAGAGAGAGAGAGAGTAGATCAACCACGAAAGCGTCGGGTCCTATATCTAATTAGGTACAGCGCTCGTTACACCGCCGAAAAGATCGAAAAAGAAGACATTTGTCAATCTAAAGTACTTGATATCGCGAATGGGTCCTCTACATGACTCTTGCCACAAAGCGAATGGGTCCTCTACATGACTCTTGCCACAAAACCCTTTCGCATATCAAAAAGTTCTCATGCGTGCCGTATAACAATGTCTTTTGCATGAGGCCTATACATCAGATCAAGCAGAAGAGGCAAAACTAGCAACTGCACTACCGTTATGAGGCGCAACTGAAACACTGCAGATGTTGCCTATCCTGTTCCTTCTTAGTGCATCCGGGAGCACGCCGGCCTTGTGAGCTGCAATAACACCTATTGCTTCCCAGTAATTAGAAACCTTTACCTGTATAGACAAATGAGGTTGTTTCGTGCTTTTCAGTGGCAACATATAATCATAAGACGTGAAGAGAGCATGCCATTGCATAGAGTTTCCATTTTTTCTTTGTTTCCGCCACTTATCATTGCATAAAATTAGATATTGGGAAAGTCACGGATCAAGTGTTTCCAACAGCTTTTACATTAAATTTCAGCAAAGGGGGAAGTGTTGGATGCCCCAAACATAATATTCCTTAATAATTAAAGCAATCAAAATATGATTTTATTGATATTACTGGGTCTCAAAACTAGCACTTAGTCCTAACTAAGGAAGCCCTTATTGAAGGGCACAACTGTGTGTTTTTGAAGCTTTTAATCCAGTTATTGCATCTCTCGAGAAACAAGAATAAGGTGGTTGACAATCTCACCGGCATCAAACTCTTCTCCCAATGTTTCATTGGATCTCAACACAAAAGATTATGGAAGAAGAGTGAGCTAGGCTTCAGTAACATACCACTTCAATCTGCAGCTCGTCTGGTGTGTCATTGAGAACTGTTTCATTCTCCTCCACAACAATTATCAGCGGCTGAAATAAGTAAAGAGAGATAAATGTTGAATAACACTTCTTTTGGCCATGTTCAAGGTAACCCGGTTGCTTTTTCCTTTGGGTAATGCTATCAAGTCTTTTCTGTTAGCACGACTTCGGAGAAAGAATTTTAGTAGAAAGCAGTATTGCATTCGTACAATTACCTTCTTTTTCCTTCTTGCGAAAGCAAGGGCACCATCACCTCCACAAGCATCTATAGGAAGAACAACACTATCAACATCACTGCCTAATATGCACCTGTTCTCCATAAACTCTGATTTGTTGACTAAGTACTGAGGTGCATTGCTTAGCCCAGCAAGCACGCAAGGAAGGAATGTATATCCTATCTACAAGACCCATACATTATGACTCAGGATAGTAAAAATATACATAAAGACCCACGTTAAGCACAAAGAATCACACAAGCATGAGCCCTAGTGAATGCACAAAATTTCATAATTGTTTGAAAAGGTGTTGAGCGTTCCATATAGTTGCAGCCCAAGACCAGTATGGTCTCCAGAAGCTACTCATTCGAACTAAAGTAAGGTCATAACTTGTAAGAATGCAACAATACATCTAACAAACGTAGCATTTTGAAGTTCTATGTAAAGATAGAAATCAACAAAAAGCACTGAGAAGTATTTCAACCTTTATCTCAAGCTAGAAGCAACAATAAGTTAGAATGCAAGGATGAAACCTTGATAAGAGCAACTTATAGACATGCTCTATTCCGGTGGATCTCGTGCCATATTTACAACATCCACTGAGGCAGCACTTTAAATGCTGTTTACTTCACTACTAAGATATTCTGGCTTGTCCATAAGAAATTGATTATTCACAATATTTCTAATAGACATATAAGGTGGAGGTAATTTCATATGCGCATGTGTCACGGACCGTGATTCTCTCGTACTCTTGTACCCTTGTGAATGGTGCTCGGGGTTATCAGGTAAAGAGTAAGGACTCATAAGGAATGAAATGCAACTGGGTCGTGGAAGTGGTGTCAGGGCGGTTGGTGCTAAGAGTTCTAAGATGGAACAAATATACCCTAAGGAACTTTGAAGGCGGGGTTGGCCTCCCGTGCACAAACTGGTCGAGAGCTAATGCCGCTCTCCTGATGAGGCCATGGCAAGCCGAAACCAGTTGTTGTACCTAAAGTATTTTGTGTGTCTTGCTCGACGGACTAAATGCTCGAGCCAAACTGGGCGTGGTACGATTCGATACGAGGAAGCCAATTGCCGTATTGTTCTTCCGAACGACTATTGAACGAGGGCTGGCCTGTTGTGAACGACACGCTAGGCATTGCACGGGCTACTCCGCAGCCAAGGAACTGTCGGCCCGTGATAGATGGTATTAGAGCAAGATCCCTCCGGTAAGTGAGTGAGTCGAAGAAAACCTGTGGTCTACCGGGCCCTACGAGGGTAGAGAGTAAATCGTCGGGGCCAAAAGATGCTCGAACAAAGTGCGGCTCTCCACCAGCTTCTAGGATGACAATAGGGGCACAGAAAAGAACTGATTCCTCACTGAATAGGGAAAATGTTCCTTGATTGATTTGGCGAATCTCAAGATGGCTATGCTACCACGTTATCAACAAGGAGAAAAATCTCTATTGGTCTGCTGAGATCCTGAGAATTCCGAAGTAGGCGAAGAATGGTGCTGCCAAAATTGGTGCAGTTGGCGAAAAATACCACATTTGTCAGGGAAAGCACAAGTGACCAAACGGCTCTAATCGAGAAAAGCTACCAATGGAGACAAATTGTTTTGTTGGGTGAGCGTCCACCACTCATGTAAGTCCCGAAAAAGAAACGGCATTGATGGTGAGAATTGACACGGGGAAGCGACAGAACAGCCCGCAACGAGGGCGTTGCAGAACTGAGTGGGGGAGAATGTCACGGACTGTGATTCTCTCGTACTCATGTACCCTTGTAAGTGGTGCTCAGGGTTATCGGGTGAAGAGTGAGGACGCATAAGAGATGAAATGTAACTAGGTCGTGGGAGTGGTGTCAGGACGGTTGGTGCTAGGAGTTATAGGATGGAACAAATATACCCTTAGGAGCTCTGAAGGCGGGGTTAGCCTCCCATGTACAAACTGGTCGAGAGCTAATGCCGCTCCCCTAATGAGGCCATGGCAGGCAGAACCAGTTGTCGTACCTAAGTATTTTGTGTGTCTCACTCGATGGACTAAACGTCCGAGCCAAGCTGGGCGTGGTACGATTCGATACGAGGAAGCTAATTGCCGTATTGTTCTCTGGAACGACTATTGAACGAGGACTGACCTGATGTGAACGACGCGCTAGGACGGCTATTCCGCGGCCAAGGAACTGTCGGCCCGTGACACATGCATGACAGGGTACACAGCCACTGACCTGCCCGCACCAACTACCATACACATACACACCAACAGATAGAGAAATATTGTTTCTGTAGAAGCACTAACCTCCTCTGCAGCCGATTTCGGGGAGAGAGATAGGCTTAGGGGCAGGGGTGACATAGCAGGAGCATGTGCACATGGTATCTGAAACTCCTTTACCACTAAATGACTTATGAGTGCCTCAACTCCCGCTATATCATCTATTCCCTGAACAGAGGAGTCAATTGATGAGGAGAAGTATTTTGTTAAGAGCCCGCAAAGCTAAGAAGGGCATCATTTCCATACACAAATAATCTATAAATGAAGTTGGCTTTCTCATAGAGCTCTAATTGGCGAAAACTTATTATTAAACAGGGAATGAGGAATCCAAATCAAATGATATGCATACCATTCCTTGTCGATAATCATCCGTATCATCCAAATCATCATCCGGGAAGCGTCCCACAACAGCAACAGCATTTACCTTTGCTCTGCTAACTAAAGTTTGTACAGCTCTCAATAGTGCGCCAGGATGCTTGATCCTCCCAGTAGAATGGCCATTCTCAGGATCAATCCACTTCTCCAACTGAAAGTACAATTTATGAAGAGGAACTCAAGCCTTAAAATTCATGAGAACTTGTACTCATTACAAAAAGGTTTATAATGCTTCAAACCATAAAATGAAGCAACATGAAAGCAGTTTAAGGAGACCGGGCAAGAAACACTCTGCAGTAAAGTGACACAAATTAATGTTAAAGTATAGCAAGCTGTCAAACCAAAATATAATTACTGATCAATGAGAGCAAATGTACCATTGGCACACATTCAAAAAACAATGGATTTTGTTAAAAACTGCTCTTAAGGCATTGACAAAGCTACATTTAATGCGCATTCGAAATGTAAAAAAAATGTAAGGTTCGCATGTTCCAATGTCTTGTGATGTGTGAAGTTACTAAACTTTTCTCTATCTTTCATATTACCTATAAAAAAATGTCTTAAAAATATAAATTCACTATACATAATAAGCTAAATGAGTGCCCTAAGAACAAGACTCTTTACGAGGAGGGGAGAGGGGGGAGTGAACAATCTTTTGGCACCGCGATTTCAGAGAAAGTATAGTGTCGGACCTCTAGTGGGGTATCTGTTACAATATATTCCAGAACAGGCAAACCAAGGGAAGCTCTTGTTGCATCAGCGACTTGTAAATGACGAACTCGAAGCTCTTCTTCTATTGCAGCATCAAGAACAAGACCAACCTTCGGTGTGCCACAAGTCCCACGCATTCAATTCATGAAGTACACAGAAGATGTTTGATGTTCTAAAGATAAATGAAGCGCACAGTAGAACCTTATTCTGGTGAACAGGCTGCAGTGCCCATAAGCCTTCTGCAAACCGATCAAGAGCATGGCCTTCGACATATAAGATATTTGGCATTGGCCAGTAGAGCATTGCTGCATTAAGAACCTGTAGAACAATGACATGTTAAATTATGCATTGGCATGTGTGATCATTGCAGAGTCAAAAAAGAAACATGCAACCAACAAATATATTCAGAATTGTTCCACCCATGAACTGTTCCACCATATTGTTCATCTGTAATTATATTCATTTATCTGACAATAACCAGTGGATCCAGAATTGCAGTTCAAGGATTTGCCCGGACATCAAGTAGAGGAGACACATGAGCACAAATTTTACATTTCCTTCATTTTTTCTTTAAATTTCCATGCTTATCTTTCTATTGTGCCCAGACTCATATTCATACTTGGCAAGAGTTGGTTCCAGACAACAGGTGCTACTACCATACTCTAGGAGTTTATCGTTGATTCAGCTGCACCTGAACATACAAAACAGTCAATCCACTTAAACCCATTTGTTGATTTACATTACGGTTGCGATAAGGCAACAAGATCTCAGAGTAGCTCCACGTTGCAAAGATGGCACTTTTGATCATAGTAGGCTCGCTATCCTTTAAGGAGGGAAACAAGCTGTCTCGTTGTCTTAGCAAAGATCACAAGCTTCAGTTCAACTCCTTGTCCATTCCATGGGACCTTGAAAGCAGAGATAAAACAGATGCGTAACTTAAAGTCGCTTCTGCCAATTTCATAAGTTTCTCATTGATTACCACCAGAACACAACCAGCCACACAAGAATTTCAACCTGGCAATTCTGCAGCCTTCTCCTTAATCAAAATGTTCTTGAGCGATCCACATTCTTGCAACAGAGAAGTGAACTAAAAGCCAAGAACAGAGCTACCATGAATGCCGAGCATCACCATGCGCACCCACGAGCCGTTCACACGCCCCCATCAAACGATACATGGCAACTATACCCTCGAGGAGAAACATAAAAACGGAGAAGAAATTAAAGAGCCGTACATTGGGGTGAGAGATGAGGCAATCGACGACCGAAGAGAGAGCGCGGGCAACCGGCAGGGCATCGCCGGCATATCCTCCGATGGACGCACCGACCCCCGTGGGCACTATCATCACGCTCGTGTAATCCCTCTTCCACTGCACGGTAGCGGCACTTCCCGTTAATCAATTTGCGGCACCGAACCGCCACCATCAAGAAAAATCGCAACAACAAGAACACCAAATCTTAGCCCATCTTAACTGATGGACGGTATGAAGCCATGCAGAACTTGCGCGGCTTCGTCGGAGATGGCCGGCCGTTGGGCGGGAAACTGCCGGCGCCGCCTCTTGAAGGAAATGGCCGGCCGACCAGCGCCGCCATTTCTCGCGCAGCTCGAATCTGCTCTCCCCAAACCTTCGAACAAAAAACCAAAATGACATTAACCCCAGATAAATGTGACTAATGCGAGAAAATTTATTAAAATCGGTAAAGTATGGCGCAAATAGCCCTCGAACTTATGTAATATGATTCACGATCTTTTAATTTATTGAACGTGATCCTGAAATTTTAAATCAATGTGTAATACAGTTCCTAAATTTTTAATTTATTCAATGTGATACCTGAATTTTTGATACATTATTAATGCAGTCCTTATTAGGGATCACATTGAACAAATTAAAAGTTCAGGGACCGCATTGCACATTAGTTTAAAGTTCTGGGACTACATTGAACAAATTAAAAGTTAAAGAACCACATTTTACATTGGACCAAAGTTCATAGATTATTTGTGTCATTATCCCTATCGAATCAAATGAACCTTAAACCCTCGATTTATTTCCCAGAAGATAAATAATTTGGAAAATATTTTCGTAAAAATGATTATTTATATCGTGTGAAATTATTAGTTAATTGAAAATATTTTTATTATCGACCTATTTTCGTGAACGACGAAAATGGTTTTCGTTCGTTGATTATTATAAAAGATGGAATCGATCATTTTAAATCACTTACTTTTCGCGAAACAAACGCACCGTGAGTTTACTCTTTTGCTCGATCAAGCATCTCAACTTTTCAAATTTCTATCGATGTTGGGTCACTGCTGAATAAATTATCGTGTCATGTGATTTTGCCGATGCAGCTTGGTTACTCCATAAAAGTTGAGTGCAATTAGAGACGCGGCTCACTTCATTGTCGCAACTATAATAACTAAGTATATTCTAAAAGAATAATGGTATTTGAGTAATTTGATTAGTTGAATTCGAGTTTAAGCCAATTATATCTCAATACCGACTAAAGTGGGATTTTGCTATTTAGTCCTAACGAATTGTTGAATTGCTGTCGGAGTTCTTTTGGTCAGAGTAATCTCGAGAGGATGTTGTGTTCTCTAATCGAGTCCATGTCGCTGCCTTGTTAGTGAAAGAGCAATATGTGATTTTGAAGGGAAAAGAACCAAAAACAGTCCAAAGTTTATTTCGCTTATACCAATTCAGTCCTAAACTTTTCAATTGTCCCGATTGAGTCGTAAACCTTTTCACGATTTGTCAATGTAGTCCATCAGACCAATTTTCCCCTGATTTCGAATATCCTTTAGTAAACATTTCTGATTTTACATGTGTTTACATAGTTTTATGTTTTCTTTTCTCGTCCCTCTTTGAACAGTGAAATTGGATTTCTGTCTGTTTACGTGTCGATAATAGTTCATTCATACAAAAGTCATTGGGAGAAATTGGAAATATCTGGCCCATGAAGTATATGACAATGCTTTGTATTGTTAAGTAATTATCGGCTAGTTAAATGATATTTTCAGTGCTAACTTGAACTGTACGTACAATCGCAAAGTAAATACTATCTTCGTTCTTCTTTAACTATAAGAAATTTGTTTGTCACCTGCTCCTTCGTTGCATTGACATGCGACGGAATATCTTACGGGAGGCTAAGTCGGAATCTCATTCGATCTTACGATTCTTGCGGTCTTCCGGCCCGACTCTTTGATCTTAAGAATGATCTTGAGAAAGAGCGGTTGCCCTTCTTCAACCCTAGGGATGCATGAAAGGTGACCCCACAGTCCGCTGACAAAAACATCACCCTAAGATGAACAGCTCATGGCTGCTATCAAGAACGAATCAAATCAGGTGGCTCCGTATCTCAATCTTTATATGACTTGCTCCATTTCACGTATATCTCCTCTCTTTTGTCTTCATTATTCCAACATCCACGACCCTAAAACACATACACACAAATAGCCAACATCTCTGGCATCAATTTCTGACACTACTCTATATTTTTACTTGGACATGATCCATGCACACGTTCTCCATCGATGCACGTCGCCCAAAAAGATTGACCCTGCATTTTGCAATAGAAGACATGCCAGTCAATTTCTCCTTTGGAAAACTGCCAAAAAAGAAAGATGAAGTGGGCCTTGTTCTGGGGTTTCTAGCTGAAGTGCTGACCTTGTTTTGGGGCCTCTTCGGCGCAACATGCAGGGGGCCTTTCTCTTCATTTGATGAACTTCAGAGGCCTCATCATTTCGTTGTCCTCGTGATCCAAGATCTGCCCATTTCAAGCACTTCTCGTCATACCATACCATAGCATGGCCCAAAACAAAAAGGCACTATTCTAGTTACTCATTCCAGCATTCGCAGTACTGAGCTAGTTGATTTCGCGAAAAATGAATGATTGAGAAAATATATTCGTAAAAACGACTACTCGCGTTGTTTAGAAATAGATTATTATTATCAATAATGAAAATATTTTTCATCGACTAATCATTTCAAGCGATACAAAAGATCGTTCTTTGTAAAAAGAAAATTTAAATTATTTGCTTTTCTCGAAATAAATGGAGTTTAAAAATCTATTCAATTTTTAAGAATTGGACAGGACAAAATCAGTCTGAATTCGGCATCACGTGAACCACAGCCCGTGTCTATCCAGAACGCACCTTTCCTGATCCCCGCTCGTCATGTCAGACTCGCTATTGGGTGGGGTATACACCTCGTGACCCAAAGACCTCAACTCTATCGCTGCCCCGATCCGACCCGAATTTCAATCGTATTTCCCCTAAACAATTTTCACCCTCCGCTTTTTATTCCTCCTACCTTAATAAATTGAATATTATATGTAGACACACACTAATGAATGATGAAGATGTATTTCTATTAAGCCGACGGTCGCATGAAGCAAACATATTGCATTCGGAGCAGGGCTTACGGAACCCGACGCACCGATTTTGGAACGACCCACCTCTACTGTCTTTCTCGATGCCGGATTTCATTCCTTTTTTCGCTTTTGTGAAAGCAATCATCAGACTTAAGTGATACAGTTCTTGACCGGATTATTTAGACCTATTGAACTTTTACCAATTATTCAGTCATAAAAAACCTTTTAATTGTTCCATTTAAATCCTAAACATTTTCATGTTTTGCCAATTGAATCCATCTGAACAATTTTGACTGGAAATCCTAACGTGAACGCTAATCGTTCTACATGGTACGACCGGCGTTAACGTGAATGATTTTTATTAATATTTTTTTCCAAATTTTTTAATTATTATTATTTTTTTATTGTGCCTGCAATTCAATTGACAAGACGCAAAAAGATTTATAATTTTATTGGCGCAATCTTCGCCTTTTGTGAAAGTAATCGTTAGACTGAAAGTTTATGTAGTCCTTGGCGTGTAGTGTTGAAAATTCTCAATCAGGATAATTTTGGAAATATACGAGAAAAGAAGAAACAAATGACGACAAAAAAACACGCATGGGATGCTACGCAGATGTACTTACGTGGCAATGGTAGACGTAGCCGGGCTCCGCCGTGGCGTCGAACGGGTACGACGCGTTCGAGTGGATGTAGGAAAACCGGACCAGCACCGTCGTCACGTACCCGGGGGTCATCTTGTACACGTTCTTCCACCCCTTCTCGTGGGGCCGCACGCCCACCTTCCGGCCGCGCGCGTGCTCGGCCACGTGGCACCTCTCCGCGTCGTTCGATTTCATCATGCACCCCTTGAACTCCTCCAGGTCGAGGAGCTCCGTCTGATCCACCGCCCTGAGCAGCCCCAGGTGGATGTGCAGCGGGTGGTTGTCCTCCGTGAGGTTGATCACGTGCCACACCTCCGTCGACCCCGCCGCCGGCGTCTCCGTGGCCGGATCGTCGAACGGCTTGCCGTTCAGGTACAGGTGCGTCGGCTCGTCGGCGTCGCTCGTGTACTCGTACATCGCGATGTACCGCGTGCGCGAAGCCGCCGATGGGTCCGCCGCCGGGTACTCGATAAGCTTCTCCGGTATCCTCGTCGGGTCGACCTCCGGGTCTTTCTTGATGATGAACTTCATGACCTTGCTGTTGGCTTCGTTGACCGGATCCCCCGACGGGTACGGGTACGCCGCGTCGTTGGCCAGGACGGCGTGGTCGGACTTCGACTTGGAGAAGTCGACCACCACGTCGACGATCTCGGACGGGGCCACGAGGGTCCCGTTGGCCGCGACGGGCTCCTCGAGGTACGCCGAGTCGGCCGCCACGTGAACGATCTCCAGCCCGTTGGTGAAGAAGAATCTGAAGAACCTCGCGTTGCTGGCGTTGATGATGCGGAACCGGTACTGACGGCGCCGCACCACCATGTAAGGCCACGCCTTGCCGTTCACTATGATCGCGTCGCCGAAGTACTCCGGCTGCCACTGAGGGTGTATGGAGGGATTGTTTCCGGTGGAGTTCATGTATATGGAGCCGTCCACGCGGAAGCTCCGGTCGAACACCACCAGCGGGCGGTCGAACTCGTCGCAGGCCGGGAGCCCGAGCGGCGACTCCACCGCCGGGTGGCGGACGATGTAGGCCCCGATCAAGCCGGCCAATAGGTTGACCCGGGTCAACCCCATGGCGTGATCGTGATACCACATGTTCCCGGGATGCTGCTTGTTGGGGTAGTGGTATTTCTCCTTGGTCCACATGGGCCCCCGCTCTCGGAACCCGGCGGTGAACCACGCGTGCGAGTGCCCGTCGCTCTCGGGCTCGTCGATCCCGCCGTGGAGGTGAACCACGGTGGGAATGCCCCTCCGGGTGCGCGGCACCGCGGTCGGGATGGTCGGGTCCCACGGGAGGATGTGCTTCGTGGGGAGGTAGTTCCGCCACGTCACGTAAGTGTCGACGCCGTGGAGGGCCTCGATGGTGGGGCCGGGAACCGTGGCGGTGGCGGGCGATGTGCCGTAGGCGAACACCGGGGTCGAGGGGACATCCCTATGGAATTTCTGAGAAAAGCAAAAAGCAAAGACTTCATATAACAAAACGACTATGACAAAAATAAATATATAAAAAAAACGACGGATAACATAATTATAGGATGAGGACCCGACAGCATAAATTATTGTCCTTCATATCATTGGTGTTCTTCACGAATTAATTAATAATTAATTCACCTAAAAAGCTTCCAACCCATTAATTATCTAAGTTAGACTAAACTTTATTGAGGCCCAATTGTATATAGCAATATAAAATTCTAGTTGCTAGGAAAGTAACGACTAGAAGAGTGGTGGTCGGTGGAGATATCGAGAAAAAGGTGGGACAAACCATATGATTAAATTAAATATCAGAAGTCAGAAAGAATGATTATCATCTTGACTAAAAACGCCACTAGTGTTAATGACGAATCAAACCAGAACCAGTTGCTATGGACTGACTAAATCGCAGTTCTTTTGGAAGTGCGCTTCCTTTTATATAATTCGGCGAATCTTGTCACTTTAAATAACAAAGATTGGTGCACGATCTATTCCCCCCTCTTCCAACATAATGCAAAATGAGTTGAGTTGATTCATGATTATGATCTGCGATTTTTAATTTAAAGATATGCCCTAATCTTATCTTAACTGGAATAGAATGTTTCACCAGCCACTGGCCAGAAGCGAATTGAAATTCATATATGTGAAGAGCCATAGCAAAATGAAAAATCTTTATTTGCTGACCCCCCCAAAAATAAAAAAATTTATTTAAAAAAAAAAATGTCACATGCGGTGCACTGAACAAGCCTTGGCCTGGTCTGGATTTGTGCTGGCAAATACAAGGTTGAGCTCACAGACCAAAATCACAAGCCATAGCTCGAGAATTCAGACATCTGATTGCGTGGGGGTGTGATGAAAGTGTCAGGATCAACATGCAGCCAAAGTTAGCAAAATATATAAAAATGGCGTGTCTTAGTTTCTTTTCCTTTGTTCACAGCGAAAATGGAAATTTCTTGCAGGTTGACCCAAATGAACTCGAATTCATCGAAAGTAAGTGTAAAAATATGTGAATGGAATGAACTGCATCATAGGTTCCTAATGGAGAAAGACAAGATTGCTCTATGCAGGGCAAATCCGCAACTCTATGAATCATGGGATGCCAACATAGAATTGTGATGAATCAGAGGGAACTCAAGAAGAATATAATCTAACACCCAAGAGAGAGAGAGGGAGTTGCAGAGAGACAGAGATGCAGGGAAGAAGATGGAAGTAAAAGAGTGTCTTTCTTTCTTACCCAGCGTATCTCGTACATGCCAATATTCAGGGATTTGGGCCTAGGAACACCACCCACGACGTCGAAACCTTGGACCTTGGGCATGTCCGGAAGCTTGTCCACGAACATCTCCAGCTTTGATGGGTTTATGAGCCTGTCCTCCGCCCAAACACTGCTCATCATGATGAGCAGCACAAGAAGCACTGTCCTCTTCCCTGGATCGACCATTTTGAGCATCATGCAAACGCACCCAACTCAGCCCTCTTACAGAGAGAGAGAGAGAGAGAGAGAGAGAGAGAGAGAGAGAGAGAGGAAAAAGTGGTGAGAAAAGTTGGTAATCTTTAGCTTTTTTGGGGGGGATCAGATTCTTATGATGGTGAAAATGGAAGTAGTGCTTCTCATTTTTGGCTCTCTTTTGTTATGGTGTGGTGGTGGGCTTGGATGTCTCCGCAAGAGAACATGAGGACATGCTCAAGAACTCTTGTGTGTGTGCATTGATCCTCCTCTTCTTTATATATTACATGTGCAGCCCTTGCTTTTGTGTTTCTTTTTCTTCCTTTGTCTGAGTGTTGCTGTCATGTTCTGTTTGTCGGTTGTCTGCTAATCGGAGAGTTAGATGATTGGGACGATGGAGTCGGGAATCAGATCGAGGGGACCGGAAGTGCTATCGCATGTGACTCTAAACTTTATCGATTTTCGTTAGCAATGACTTTGTTCGGTCGATTCGTGCATTGAACAAGACTTTTTGAACAAATCGATATATTGACTGATATCCTAAAGAAACATGACTATGAACAATCAAAGAGGGACGTCATACTTCGACTTTTCAACGGACTTCAGCTCGGTTTTGAAGTAATAAGCCCATTGACGCTCTATTAAATTTTAGGTTTTTAGTTGGTTTGTGTTTGGAGATATCCATGATTGACTTAACAAGCTTTTACTGGGTCCAATTTTAATGCTTGATTAGTATGTGCATATGCTAGTGCAATCATTTCCTTTTCCTTTATATGTAAAGGAGTGAAAAGTGGGTAGGTGAGACTCAAACTATACTATACAACTAGGAAAAAGTGATGACTGGCAAAGGACAAAGGGAACCATGATTGCGTTAGGCTTAATGACCGAGAATGGATAAATATGTGCAAATTATATGCATGGAGCAAATTCAACCTAGCCATCAAAATTATACATGGACGATATTGTTTTCGGAACACCGTTTAAGTTTAGATTTATGTAAGGTACACCGTCGGCGTAATATACTTTTTTATGCAAGTGGTCATGAAATGGAAATCCTCATCTACTAATAAAATGAATGCAAATGCCAAAATTAAGAATTGAATAAGTGTTAGTATTGAATCTTGCTTGTGCAATGATAATTTTACATCATCGGTGTGCCAAACAAAAGTCTCGAAGCTTGACTAGTTCATAAAACAAATGGAAAAGTTCGTTTAGAACATTCCTTGTCCTTCTCCTCCAAGTTGATTAGGAAACTGGCGGATGGGATTGGTTTGGGGAATGAGCTGGTCATGAGCTTGCCCCCCAATAAAAGTCTATTTTTAGAAAGCGTTTTTCTCCGTAATTTTCATATCGCTTTCTTTATTGAAGACGACTAAAGCACCAAAGACAGTTATTCAAACTCAGGCCAATTCTCGTCACAAGTCAAAGTTGTCTTGCCATCGAGATAACTAGCAAACTTAACATCTTAGTAGCTAGAGGAAAGAAAAACTACTCTAATTGTCCTCTTTCTTTCTTAAATTTTTATTCTGACTCTTTGCGAAGCAGGAGAATCAAACATCACACTTGAAATTAAACGCCACCACCCTACCTAATTTCCTTATCACTAGGCCACGTGTCCGATGGGTGATCATCATAAAAGTTATCTATGCTACTCATAGGGTAGTTGTACTAAAAAAGGTGAGAATCCTATATTCTAATTGAGTCTCTCTTTCCTAAACACGTAAAATTTGTTGAGAAGGGGAGAGGACCACCTTGCGACATTAAATACTACTTAGTCACCGATAGTGACCGTGAGGGAAAGGGTAAAAGAACCCGCGACTGTCACTCGACATTTGTACCACAGAGATGGGGAGATAAGCGTTAAGCAATAGTGCCAAACAAACGGTAAAGTACGAGCTTGACTTAAGATTGGTGAGAGATACATTACAATATCACATAAAATACTTTGTCGTATTTCATGATTTGCTCCTCCACAAACAAACAGAAAGAAAAGGAAAGAACAAGAATTGCCGGAAACATAATAAACGAAAGTAGGTGAAACCAAAGACCAGTAAAATTAGTGTTCTTTTTCTTCTCGACGAGGACAAAATACATTGTAATTTTTTTTATTATTCAAACCCCATTTCCAACGCAAATCCTCCCTTGACTTGTTCGCAATTGCAGAAATCTATATGTTGAGAATCTTTGGTTTGTAGCCCTCCCTTTGTCATCACTTAAGAGAGTTTCTGGACTTCTCAGGTAAACAAAACTATTAGCTACGAGCTGGGTCCATATCATCTAGTAAGCATATAGAAATCTCAATGTCCATCAATCTTGGACAATGTGATTGATGCCGAGGCTTGCAATAGGTTTATAAGTCATTTAAATTGGACCCTTTTGAAACTAAGGTACTGAACTCTGTGAGCAGCCAATTTAACAATTATATGCCTTCCGACATGACAAGATGAACTTCGAAAATATGTGGTTCTTATGTTACTGATTAGAGGAAAAAACCCTTCTTGCTTTCTGGAGTTCATGCGTTGAAAAGTCATGTCAGGATGAGGACTTGCCTTTGCATTGTTTCGTTGGGTGGGGCCACCCTCCCGAGTGTTGCGCGGTAAACGCCAAACCTAAGGGCATGCTCGACTTTTACTTCATCATGTTCTAGGCTCCACAGGGGGGGACATACTGCCAGACAACATGTGAGTGGTGGTGGTGGTGAGGTGACCTGGGAATGCAACCGGATGCAAGTTACAGATCATGAAAAAGAAAATGTTTTAAGTCTTTCTAAAAGCGATGTGCGTCAAAAAGCATAAACGCATCGAAGAACCCGACTGATCCTTAGATGGGTACTGAGCGTACGTACCTGTCCATAGCAGCATGCAGCTTAAATAAATTGAATCACGAAACTCCGACACGACTAACAAATGTTAAGAAATGTGATATAAGCGTATTGCTAGCGTGCTTATCTAACAATTTAAATTTTTGGGAAGAACCGCTTGTCTAATAATGAAAATTCCAATCGAGATATTTCTCGATTTCAATGGGTGATACCAGAGTGGCCACGCACGTGATAAGAAATCTTGTGGAAGTGGACCATAACTTTTGTCTGAAAAGATTTCCGGTTATTGTTTTCTTTTTCTCCCCAGAGTCCTCAATTTCTTTCATGTGGTACTTAGCAGATGCTTCCTGTCTGATCTCTTGCACAGGATGCCGAGAATGCAGAGACAAAAGTCTTCAAATGATAACAATGATTTTTAAAAAAAAAAATCAAATCATCAAAGAGAAAATCCTTTCTCCCTATACAAGTGGCCCATCGATCAAATCATTTAAATGTGAACGAAGATTTTTTCCACGAAAGCAGAGAGAAAACATTGCTGTCAAATGATCCCTATCATCTTGAGAGTGAAGTCCTGGAAATGGGGTCCTCCTCTCCACTGCTTCCTGCCTCTTTTCTTGCTTGGACGAGAAAAGCTTTCCCCTTCACTTATTAGATAGAAAACTAGGCTTAAATTTTTCTAATAAGATATGTACACGGAGAATTTCAAGGAAATAAATCTTAAGGCACATCTAGCGGCCACAGAGGCCACCAGCCCCCACTTTCGGTTCGTCTCTTACGCCCGTATCTTCTATAATCCGGAGTACAATACATTAGAAAACCGTATATGTACCCACCCTCTTCTAAACTATCACTTATCTTGTTGCAATTGAATATAGACACAGTACATAACTTTATTGTACTTTAATCCAAACTCATCTACAACCACCAGATGTAGCAGTAGACGGAATATATGTTCTTTACACATACTGGGACTGGTCCAGAAGCTGTCGATTCAAAAAGTTGCTCTACTCGTCTATTATCATCATTGGCCACTTGATTTTGTTTTCGTTGCAGTGCTTGTTATGACTGTAACTCATGATGATGAATGTCCACTGCACTTCCATCTTCTCAGGTGAAATGATGAGGGCGAGAGAGCTTTCTGAGTTAGGAGACGAAATATTATTCTGTTCATGTGCTTCGTTGGCAGAAAGGGCCCAAAGTGGCTCATTAAGATTGCTCTTTGTGGGTCTAGCCGTGGAAAGCACTTGGGGATGCGGATAAAGAATTAGTGCCATTCTTGATGAGACCATAATGTATCGTATGTGTGTTGGGTCAAGAAAAGATGGTCACTAATGATGAAGAATCTTGGGCTAATTGTGAGAAGATTATGGCAAGAAAAATGAGGCAAGTGATGATCTTCTACTGTAATTTGTGGTTGTGTACTGTTCGTGCTGCATGTTTGATAATTCAACTAAGTGCTGAAAATTGAGAACTCCGCACTTAAGGAGATTAAACTTTTTGATAGCCTTACCGGGAAAATTACCAAAAAAGTCCTAAACCTTTTGCAGTTGTGCCAATTCAGTCCTAAACCTTTTTTTAACCAATTCAGTGTTTAAACCTTCTGATTCATGCCAATTCAGTCCTTTTGGCACGGCCTATGGCGTCACGTCCCGGCGCCGGCCAGCCCACGTCGCCCGACCGGCCAAAAGGACCGAATTGGCTGAATTGCGTAAGGTTTAGGATCCAATTGGTTAAAAAAAGGTTTAGGACCGAATTGGCACAACCGCAAAAAGGTTTAGGACTTTTTGGTAATTTTCCCTAGCCTTACTTAGCATGGACTTGAAGGACTCCATTAAGTCAAAAGTTCACTTATGACCTGATTGATAACTCAATTAAGTGATTAAATTTCAAAAATTCTAATACAGGTTAGCACTCTTTCTCCCGTCAAAGCTGCTTTCGAGGGTCGTCTCACTTGGCTTTGAGGTACCGTTGTCTTAAACCAAGTATTACCAAACACGCTAGTTTTAGCACTTCACAGCACGGCCACGTCGCAAATCAAGCTTCGGTGAAGTCACAATCATACCAACCAGATAATAATTAAAGCATTCATTTAATTTGGTAAGGAAGGGAGGGGACACTTAATTTATTCAATAGAAAAATAATGGGAAAAGTGTTAGAAAAGTCCTAAACCTATTTGATTGATGCCAATTTAGTTCAAAACCTTTTTTTTGTGTCAATTCAGTCATTCCTGCTAATTTTGGCTGGAAATTACTGATTTGGATAGCAGGCGACCTATGTGGCACCGCCGGCGATGACGTGGACAACTTTTAATGGCGATCGGCCAGAGGGAAGAAGAAAGGAAAAGCAAAAAGAAAAAAGAAAAAGAAAGAAAACTAAAAAAATAAAAAAATTTCAAAAAATATTAAAATATTATTAAAAGTTGTTTGGCAACTGGCCGGAGGGAAGAATAAAGGAAAAGTAAAAAAATAAAAAGAAAGAAAACTAAAAAAATAAAAAAAATATTAAAATATTATTAAAAAAATTTTGGCGATCGGCTGGAGGGAAGAAGAAACGAAAAGCAAAAAAAATAGAAAAGAAACTTTTTAAAAAATAAATAAAAAATTTTAAAAATATTAAAATATTATTAAAAGTTGTTCGGCAACCGGTTGGAGGGAAGAACAAAGGAAAAGTAAAAAAATAAAAATAAAGAAACTAAAAAAATAAAAAAATTCGAAAATATTATTAAATTTTGTCCGGCGACCAGCTGGAGGGAAGAAGAAAGGAAAAGCAAAAAAAATAGAAAAGAAATTTAAAAAAAAAATAATAATTCGAAAAAATATATGAAAATATTATTAAAAGTTTTCCGGCGATCGGCTAGAGGGAAGAAGAAAGGAAAAGCAAAAAAAGGTCAAAGAAAGAAAAGAAAAAAATTTTAAAAAATCAAAAAATTAAAAAATATTAAAATATTATTAAAAGTTGTTCATGTCATCGTCGGAGATGCCACATAGGCCAGTTGGTGTCCAAGTCAGTAATATCCGGCCAAAATTAGTCGAAAGGACTTAATTGGCACAAAGATAAAAGGTTTAGGACTGAATTGACATAAAAAAAAGTTTATAACTAAATTGGTACAAATGCAATAGGTTTAGAACTTTTCTGATACTTTTCCTGAAAATAATTGATTACAGTTGCAATATTACAAAATATTTTGGTAAAACTTACAAGTAATGATCATTGTTCTATGTTTGGTAAGAAATTAATCATATTCAGCTATCGATAATCAATTATCATCAAATACCTTTTCAATTATATCGTCAGCATTCATTCAATACTTATATATTCAGCCCTTATTTTTCAATTTTATACCCTAACTTGTGATTAATAATTAATGAACTTAATCGGCCAAAACATGAAATGTGGCAATGAAGATGGGCCTAACTCTTTGGTCTAGACCTGCTCAAATAGGCGAGCCGGTCCAAAAGGTTATATAGTCCAATGGGCCAAATAAATTGTTAATAATTCCTAAGAAGCTAGCTCAGCTCAATAATATATATGTATTTTTTTGTCTGAGCTGAAAAAACAAAACCACGTCATTTCATCCCCAGTAAAAATCAATAATCATCCAAATGTATAATGCTTATCCAATCAATGTAAAAATCCCCTAATTACTACTCGATCATGAATTTATGTGACCAACTTGTTACACATGCCAAATACACACATTCAGATATATTGCACCCATCGAATATAATGCGGTCAGTCAAATCTATACATATGAGTCCCACCATATTAAAATCATAGTTGGTACTGACACACATATATATAAATCCCAAATGTTTACAATTGGTCCAAGCAATGATTTCTCTCTCTTCTATATCTAAATTGGTCTAACCGAGATTCGCAACGTGTTACGTGCTCCGCTATTTATATGAAAGTGAAAACTACATGGAGCCTTATCCCCGCAAGCATTATTGTTACTTAATCGTTTTCTTTATTTCTTTTCTAGCTCTCAAGCCTACCCAAATCGGAACTCCAATTAAATAAGCTAGAATCACTCAACCACTCTTAAGGATAAATACCCATGTAATTAATTAATTGATTGGTTACGTCATAAGGCGATTTTTCCACCTGTTGAATCGGGGCAATAATGTGACACATGTCACATATAAGCTACGTGGCGGTGCATGGATTCTAATTGATACGCCATTCGAAAAAAGATTGCTAAAATTGCCATCCAATCCAATTAACTTAATCCTCTCTTCCATGCACGGTGATTAAAGAATGCTTGATTGATATAGGGCTAGAAACATAATCACCATTAATCAAATCGAGTACATCTGTACATCATGGACAGAAGAGGATGGTGCTGCCATTTCTGGAAAACCCTCGGGCTTCCACGTTTTTCCCAACTCTGGTATTGATTAGCCATAAGCACACGATCATGCCATTTCTATAGAAAAATCATTTGCCCTAAACATTCCATTCGTTTGGAAGATTGCCTTTTGATGATCAGTAGAAAAGACATGTCGAATTTATTATCGATTATTTATTTTGAAAAGATATGTCAAATGAATACATTTTTACTACGTTTACGGCTTGTGAAGAGACCGATCGTGTTAATCTTTATGCAGTCAACGTTTTAGATGAGTACGTTAATTTTAGTTTTCGGTTAGGGGGAACTAATTAATTGTATGACTATATAATCGCAAGGGAGATATGTCTAGTCAATTTCTTCGTGTACATGGAGGACTGTCGTGCCTATAGCTCAGTAAATATATTAGATCTATATTTAGATATCTCTAGTATATATCTCCATTAAAAAATTTCTTTATGTTCTAAACTTATGGTGCTTTTGTTTCGCGGAAAATAAATGATTTGAAAAATATTTTTTTCTAAAAATGATCACTTGTATCGCTTAGAAAAATGAATTAAAGAAAAATATTTTTCATCGTCCACGATAATATTTAGACATAAATTATTAACCACGTTTTATACACTGACACCTATCACTGCTTGTGCTCAGAAAAAGACCTATATGTCTTTTATAATTCAAGATTTAGAAAAAAAAAAAAGAGATTGATACTGATCTGCCCTTCAACGCTAGACACCATGAAATGGTACCAAAAAACACAAAATTACATTAAGCTCCTAAAACCTAAACCGAAAAACTTCGAACTACAACAAGAAGTCACTCACAAGGCAAAGAACCCTTTTATGCATGGAAAAAAAAATACTTAGCTGCACTAATCTTTCTCTTCTATTTTCTTTTCTCTCATATATTGTTCACATGATGGAACATGCATTAGGGTTCTCGTCGCTGAAGAGGTTGGTGAACTGCTCGTCGGGATCGTTAGGGCTCGGGAGGGCTTGGGGCACGTTCTTGACATAGCCGGAAGGCGCCTTCTTGTCGTAGGCCTGACGTGCGTACGGATATGCCACCAAGTTGTACGGCACATACGGCCACAGCTCCGCCTTCTTCCCCGTGCTCTTCACCTTGTTCAGTACTTTGCCCGATTCGACGTAGCCGCTCACGCTCACCTTGCTTTGTTTCCTGTTCACTTCCACTGATTTCACACCTATGAACAAGGAAATCAGCTTAATTAATCAGTGAAACCTTAGGTTCGTTTTTCTTTTCGTGGCGCGGATTATATGTAAGGAAAGAAATGGAGGTGATGCGAAGACATGGAAGTGGACTTGGATGTGATGTATAAAAGGACCTTGAATCTCATTAATGAGCAGCTAGGTCCAATTGAGTATATTTACAAAGTTGTTTACCTAGCTATATGTGAATAGATAGGTAGTTGGTTAGTTGCAAAATGAAAAATAAAAAAATTAACCATATTAATATCATGTATTATCATAAGTTCTGTTTATCGCGGATTTACAGAACTAATACTTTAACTTTGTCTGAGCGACCGTGGCCTCCAAATGGTATGAAATTTTGTCCAACATAAACCAGCTATGACACAATATCTCGATACGGTGGTGCGATATCTCTTAATTCATTCATCGCGAGAAATTACCTAAGACGAAGGTCGGGTTTGAGATACAAATCATAGGAGCGGCGTATAATTGGTGAATACATGAATGAACCATATGAGATGCTGGCCCCATGATGATAAATGGTATACGTGAGGGAGGGGGGAGAGTGAACCTTTCATGGACGAAACGGCATTCCGGACTCTCCTTTCGCAGCCGTCGCAATCCATCTTCACCTTGATATCAACCGTCTGCAAATTTCACAACCCCGGCGGGGGCTACACAGTTAGAGAATGGCACCGAAGTGATCCGAGGAAGAGAGGCGCGCGTTCAAGACCTTGAGCAGCATACTCAGGAAGTATCAAAGCCAAAAGATCGCCGAAAAGCAAAGCAAGGATAGGGGTGGTAAGAAGAAGGAAAGAAACCTGCATGGGCTTGCGTTTCTTCCGTGGCCTTGAGACATCGAAGTCGAAGATGTCAGAGAGACGATCTAGCACTCCCATCTTCTTCTTCACTTTGTCTTTGTTTCTTGAGAGCAAAGAACTGATATACAAAACAAGCTTAGCTAGAGAGAGAGAGAGAGAGAGAGAGAAAGGCCGAGGAAGAACGCAATGGAAGGTCTGGAGTGAATTGGCTCTCTCTCTCTCTCTCATTCGCACACGTATATATAGGGGATGAACAGTGACGCAAGTTACGCGCAGAAAAATGGTAATGATGGGGACAACGTAGGATGAACTGTCTCTAAGTGTAATCTCGCCGTTCCCCGAAATATCATGCCAGACAGGTGGGGGCTTCGGACTCGCCACGACGCACCGGTTTTCTTCATGAGCCGAACAAAAACTACACTTAACGCTATAATAATTGAGATGTTTTGGGGTTTTCTGATTATAGTATGTGGAATGATTGATGAGCACCTGGCTGTCAATCGAGCTGCTTGCTTTGCTCCCAAGGAATGTCATCGAATTGGAGTCGACCCGATACGGTGCCTATCTCGAGCTCAACTCGACTCGCCTATTCGATGTTTAAAACTCGACTTGAGCTCGATCGTGTATTAAAATTTCCGCTCGAGCTTGACTAGACGACAGTTAATTGACAAAGGATATAGAGCTCGTGCTTGCGCTCAATCTTGGAAAAGCTTGAATAAGGTGGATATATTGTGTAATTTTGAGGAAATCTACGTGTATTTTTTTTATCTAATGTGAAAAAAAATCGCAAAAAAAATCAATTAGGCTCACGAGCCTCTCGAGCTGAGAATTGGCGAGTTCGAGCTCAGATCCACGAACCTCAACTAGACAAAGATACTCAAGTATTTTGTTGGGAAAATTACAAAAAAGCCCCGAACCTATTGTACGGCGGCCAATTAAATCTTAAACCTTTCAATTTGACCATTTTAGTCATAAACCTTTCAACAATTTGCCAATGTAGTCCGTCCAATCAATTTTGAATGGAAATTGCTGACGTCATCACCGGTCGTCCTACGTGGCATGGTCGGTGCTAACGTGCATGATTTTTGAAATCTTTAATTTTTCTAAATTTTTTATCATTTTTTCTTTTCTTTTCTTTTCTTTCTAACTCTAGGCCAGCAAGAATCACCAGCTGACCCTACCTGACCGTAGGCGAGGGCCACAAAGCCCTTGCCTGGTGACCCTCGCTGGCCTAGAGAAGGAAAAAAAGAAGAAAGAAAAGGAAAAGAAATAAAAAAAATCTGAAAACTGTCAACATTAGCGTCGAACGTGTCATATAGGATGGCCAGCATCCATGTCAACAATTTACAGTCAAAATTGATCAGAAGGACTATATTGACAAATCGTTAAAATGTTCAAAACTAAAGTAGTAAGATTAAAAGGTTTAGAACTGAATTGGTTGCCGTACCATAGATTTTAGACTTTTTTGGTAATTTTCCCATATTTAGTTGAAACTCGAGCTAGACTCACGATCAGAAGAGTTGAATAGTCATCGAGTTGAGCTTAATGACTTGCAAGTAACTTGAATCAGTTTCACTCCTCAATCCGATGACGAGAGAGAGAGAGAGAGAGACGCAGAGTTTTTTAAGTAGTCTTTCCTGTCATTGGAAGAGAGACGTCGGCGGACTTAGGGAGGCTAGAAGTAACCTTAATTCTCGGTCCGCCATTGACGAGATCTTCAATGTGATGCGTGTAGTTAAATGTTCTTGAACGTGATGAACGATGGTGCAAGTGGGAAGGAGAGAGAGACAAACGCCACAACAGCTCAACAGCGAGGTTTAAATATGGTCCCAGAGAGAAACGTATGAATCGCATCGTTCAGGATGCTATCTTTCCAATGGTGCCCCCACAAAATTTAATTCCATGCTCATGTTCGCAAATCATTCGAAATATATCAGCATCCGAATTGTGGACCACTGCAAACCCTTATAAAAGTTTAAATGGTACCGGATAAAAGCATGGTTTAACATCTATATATGAGTATATACATCATCAATTGTCACAATAAAATCAGGGACGAATTTTGTCAAGCATGGTAGGTGCATCCAGTAATAATGATACCCTTGGTTTCTATGGATGTTGTCATGTTTCTTTCAAAATTTCGAAGGGACTCTCGAAGTTTCTAGTAATAATACTATAGATAATAACCTGACGAAGGAGTTTCTTGGACGATGATTCGCGCCATAGACCCTTCTGCCGGTTTTTCTATAAGGGTATAGATCCTTTCGATTTACGTCGAAAGCAGAAATAAGTTGATTCACCGTCTGTAGCCATGATCGATTCTCAAAGAAACAGTTATGATTATCGTGACTTGTGAGGGCAAAAAACTGAATTATATAATATGATGGGAATTAATTTCTTCTCTACTACTATCCATCTGATGTGACACGATCAAGACTAAGAGGATGACAACTCTGCAACAGTGACGGATACCCCATGAATCGAACTGTAACCAAACAACGTTTATTCGAATAATGGCCACACATAAGTCAAAGGAGGAAAGAGTGCATCAACCTCCGAGCACGAGGCCATAGAACCTTGAAATTGGGAAACCAAAAGACAAGAAAAATCATTATTATATATCTAGTGTATCTATTATTTGCTCTGCCAATAATGGAAGTGACGAGGGTAAATCACGTAATTAGATGGATTTTTCTTGCTTGTGGTGCGAATTCGCCGAGACCGCTCCCATCACTTGGACGTTGCCTCAGGAACGGTGGCCATCAGAGAAGTCAATTTCTTGATTAAATGCCTGCTTTTGACAATGTTCTAACTTGAAAAGGGGTTCATTAAATTGGCCTTTTCGACACATGATTTGATCAATCATTGAAGGCCAAGGGGCCAGCTATACAGAGAGTTAGTTGGAGTTTGGGTGTACGTAACTTTGGATTAACAAAAAAATATTCAATTTCTCTAATCTAGACCAATCATTTTCCACCAATTTCACAAGTAAATGTGTGAAAAATAGAGCCTCCTTCCAAGCATAATTGAAGCACGTGTTCGGCCTTAGGAACCGATGGTTGTGTGATGAGATGTACTTGGTCATGTTTTTGTTCCAATGATTTAAGGTAATTAATATATATATACATACATATGAGATCGAGAAAAATTGACCCTTTGATACGACAAGTTTTTTCCCAAACCCACACTCTATGTAATTTTTTTTTTATATTTTCCGAAAAAAATGGCACTTTCGATCTGACGTACCTAATGAGGTCACTTTGTGCCATGCAAACATATATGTGGTTTAGGGAAAAAAAAAAACATCTATGCAGTTCTCCTTTGTCTTTGAATTTAATATCCCAATCAATTAAGAGAAAATCTAAAAGAAATTTCATTTTCGATAGCACAAAAAAAAATCTCTTTTAGCAAAGATCGAATATCGTGTATGATATATCAAAATTGCCTAATTAGCATAACTATTAATCATTTCATTTAATAGTGTATTATGCTATAATATTCTCAAGGTTATAATATCACAGTAACTGAAATTATTATTGATTATTTAATTTAATACTGTATATGATTATATGAAATTTTCTGAGAAAAAACTATATTTGAAAAGTAGCAACTAACCTTACAAGTATAGTAATGGCAATTAGTATAATATTATTATTAGTATTCATAATATAATAATATTTTTTATCGAAATAATATAATAAATTGACAGTTAGATTAATATAAACTACATGTCATAGAAAGGGAAGTAATTTTCTATTTTTAAAATCCTTGAAATATCCTTAACTAATAATAGTGGCTATATGATATACACGTACATAAACTTAACGGGTTTAATATATGGGTCATTCGAATTCAAAACAAAAACAACATCAAAAATAAAAATGGTTCAAAATCTATAATCACTTCTTGTATATTGGATTATCATTTTTAAATATCTCATCTCATTAATATTGATATCCCTAAAAACTCCAAAATCCAAAATCATCCAACTATAATATTTTAGTCTAGTGATAAACAATTATGCTAATTATATCAGGGATAGTACTATCATTAAGATATTATTAGATATCATATATATATATATATATATATATATATATATATATATATATATCCATACGATATTTTAGTCGAGTAATTAACTTTTTCTAGAAAAACTGTTTGTTTTTATGCTATTAAAAAGGCAAATCTTTATATTTCTCTTGATTGACTGAGATACTAAAAATTGAAAAATCAAGAAAAAGCCATATAGAAGCTTACAGATCACAAAATACCCTCGTTAGATAAATAAGATTGAAAGTGCTCTCTTCTGAGAAAACAGTTTGTAAAAAATGTGGGTTGGGGAAAAAAACTCTTGATATTAATGATTGTTGTTTGTGTATATTGCTTGTGGGAGTTCTCAAACCTAAAAACAGAAATTCTAATTGTGTCGAATTTTATGCGGATTTTATATCCGTGCGAGATATACAGTATCTTATGCATCACATACGTCGTGCATGAATAACACATGCTGTAGCTGAACTAATACAAGAAATTTGTGTATATCTGAAATCAAAATCCAAATACAAAGATGGTTTCCTAGCTTTTGTTTAATACTAGCAAAAAAGAGCACATACCATGTACGTGCAGAAAAAGAAATAGAAGCTATCAAAAGAAGAGAAGTATAATTTGGTTTGCTTTAGGATCGGAGCGAATTGTAATTGTATGAAAATATTTAATAGGAAATTACAATTAATGAGAGATTTATGGGATAACACGATTATCTGTCGGTCCATTGCAATTACCATTTCATCTTTTACTCAATTATATATTTTTTCTTCCATTTTTTCCATATCAACCAAGGATATTATTGTCTGACCAAAAAAAAAAAACCATGGACATTATTGAAATCTATTTAGCCAAAGTTTGAGGCAGAAAGTGTCTTTTAATTTGCTTTATTATATAATATGTAAAGAGCTAAAAATGAAAATATAATGTTATTTGATAATAGCTGAATATCGAGCATAGAATAATATTAATTTCTCACCAAATCTGGAATGTTAGGTACTATTGGTAGGTTTTCAGGCCATTAGCCATACAAATAGGCAAGAACTTAATTGTTTTTTAGTGTCCACTCCATTGAATCGATTGAGTAACCCAACCATATCTAAAAACTTCGGACCTTTTAAAAGACTTCATCATGGTTCTTGTTCGGACGTCAGAATTACTGAAAAGTAAAACTTTCA